TGGTGACGACGTGAGTGCTGAATACCGGAAGGCAATTTACCAGTTTACAATGTCTTTGTGTCAGAAAATAATCAAGGAGACAAATGGCCAATACGTTTTCTCGGCCTCTTCTATTTGGTTGACCTTGGCTGCGTTCGCCGAGAGAGCTGGAGGTTCAGCACGCCAAGAGCTGTTTGAGGTTCTCGGGTTACCTGAAGACGAATGCAGTCGCCACAACTACTACCAGCTTGGTTTGGAAGGCGAAAAATTCGGTTTGGACGTGTCTTTGCCAAGAACGCGGCTGTATTTGGTCGATGAATCCATAAAAGTCAGCGACGACTGGCTTAATTTCGCTAATAATTACTGCGGTTTGACCATCAGAGCAGTGCCGATGAAACGCAACCCACAATTGACTGCTGTTATAATACGTGAGGCTATATCTTCGTTTCTGCCCAGCCTTGATTTTAAGGGAGATTCAGTGCTATTAGACTCCTTGGATTATAAGGGTCTGTGGAACGAAGCCTTCCCTGAGACGAGAATCTTTCGCGAACCGTTCCACGATAATTCAGGCAATGTTATCGGTGCAGTTGACATGATGCGAACTAGGAAACGCATTAAAATGAAATATGACCAAACTTTGAAGGCAACTATAGCTGAAATTCCGGTAGGGCATAACGCACAATACCGGTTTATTTTCGCAATGGGTGACGGAATCACAGAAGCCCTTGCTAGTGCAGACATAGACACGTTGATTGAGTTGCTGACCAACCTGAACGATACTCGTGTGCCGATAGAAATAGCGATACCACGTTTTGTTATTGTATCTGAATTGGACGTGAGGACTTTGCTGGAAAGTATCGGTGTGGAGAGTCTCTGGACAGATCCTATGGCTACCGGGTAAATATTCTATTCTATCTACAATTTTAGTTGTTTTTTATCATACACATCAGGATCAACACTTTATTATTCTTGAATGAAAATGGGGCTTCATGTGTAGGGCTATCGTCGCACACGAACATTGGTATTACCGAAGGCGTAACTGCTATACTGAGGTGAGTGGTTACCATCACTCATGGACATCAGCAATACCGGACGCACCATCAAGTCGCTGCCAAATCACTGTCTATGGGCCCCGGTAGCCGCTTAACACGAGGCAAGTCGATAAGGGAATTCTATTTTGAGCATCGGCATGCTCTTGTTAGGGCCAGTGTTAGCAACACACCCGGTTTGAGCCCCGTGAGCTCACCTACACGTTAGAATGAAGCTGAAATAGCTTCTCAAGGCTATCAGCATAGGTAGAAAAAAAAATATATAGTTGACTAAAATATTTTTTTTTTTTGGCCGTCAACCGTCCCACATTATAATAGGTCACGTTCCTAGTTATTTTTCCTTTATGAATTAGTTAGTCCTTTCTCGAGTCGAAGCAGGATGTTATTAGACTTTGAATCGAGTCACCGAAGTTGTCAAAGTGGAAACGTGTTCGGAATTCACACGAACGAGTCCTATGACGTAACGCGCTCCCGATGGATCAGACCAGACATTGGAGTACGTATTTTAATTAGGGAACTTTGAAAGATAGTTGTATATTACTGACTGACTCGGTGGTGCAGTGGTTAGCGCTCCCGACTGTTGCGCTGTGGGTCGTAGGGTCGATTTCCACTTTAAGCAAATATTGGTGTAACTTTTTTATTTCCTATGCTGAAGGTCTTGAGAGACCATTTCAGCATAGCCTTAACTAGTAGGTGAGCTCACGGGGTTCAAGCCTAACGACGTTGCTAACACTGACCCTAGCAAGAGCCGTGCTTCGCAGAATCTACCACCGGATCGGAAACGCGACCTACTGAGAAGATCCGTTGAGAAACTCAGTGGGTTCATTTACTCGCCGCGCCCTTCGTCACAAGCGACAGGTTCGACGAGGACGATGACCGGTGCTTGAGGTACCTAAAAGCACCGTTAGTGGATTGGGAGGATCCGAAATGACGTGTTCCATCTGCAATTTCGCCTTCGTAGACTACGCTCGTAGGCGAAGGCTCGTGCTTAACAGCGGGACGAAACTAGCGTATATTCTTCCCCAGGATTCAAACTATTTTCATACCAAATTTCGTCACAATCGGTCCAAAAATTAGGGCGTAAAAAGGTAATAGAACTTTCGCATGTACAACGATAGTGTATTTTCCAGAAACATAACCAGTCCTCCAGCCTCGCCTTCCACGTTCATCCAACGCGTGACAGCGACAATAGAGAATAGAGGCGCCGTTTTACCTCAAGACCAGGGGTACATTCAAGAGTCGCGTGACGACGAATTCATCGCCAATAGACCGTTTATGTTCTGTTTGCTCGATGACACTTACACGGTTTTGTTCTCTGGAGGTTTCTCACAGCCAACCTATAAATGATATCGTTATATTGCGGCCTTATTTCATTGCATTTCTGATTTAATAAAAATAAAAAAAAACGTGAAATGTTTATTCATCATTAAGGCAGACAAGAATAATAATTAAGGTGTATTCTTTTTATCTTATAGTAATAGCACTATTTCATAGTTTGTTATCTACGTGTTATCTATGTCTATAAGTTGAACTGAAGGTCTGACTACTGCACAACTGAACAAATTTAATTAAACGTAATAGGCGCATTGAATAAATAGTTGACATTGGCTTGTAACTATACTTGAGACCTAAGAACTTGTATCTCAAGGTGGGTGGCGCATTTACGTTGTGGATGTCTATGGGCTCCAGTAACCACTTAACACCAGGTGGGCTGTGAGCTCGTCCATCCATCTAAGCAATAAAAAAAATTATGGTCACTCAAAGTAATTAAGGCCCAATCATCTTGGTATGTCGCTATAACCTGTCCTACTTCAAACGAGCAATAAAAAAAAATATGTAAACGTTTTAATTAATTTTTGGAATTGAGGTGCGGTTGTTTCTTTCGCGCTAAGTTTTATCGAATGTCTATGGTGTGTGAACTTTGACGTCACTGTTCTATATTGTACGCTCTATGTCTGCCATGACACGAAAACACAAAAAACTCTTAAAATATATTAAAATGTTTTTTTCTTTATTTTAAAAAATACACGAGACTGTAAGCCGCCAAAATGCTAAACATTGCTTAAATTCGCGGTAACCACTGTAACCGCGTCCTTTCACAAAGAATGAGCTTTTTTGTTTGGTAAACGGGTGAAAGAGCTTACTGTCAACCTAGTATTGTTTACTGGGGCTCATAGACATCACGATGCGAGTGCCATTGAGTGGCGATATGAAATCTAAGTCTCAATTGTAGAGTATAAAGATTGACCCCATCTTTCAAACCGTAACGTGCGACTGCTTAGCGACAGAAATAGGCCAGGTTTCACCGGTGGTAGGACGTCTTGTAAGTCCGCATAGGTAGGTACCACCGCCCTGCCTATTTCTGCCGTGAAGCAGTAATGCGTTTCGGCTTGAAGGGTGGGGAAGCCGTTGTAACTATACTAAGACCTTAGAACTTATATCTCAAGATGGGTGGCGCATTTACGCTGTAAATGTATATGGGTTACAGGAACTACTTAACACCAGGTCGGCTGTGAGCTCTAAGCAATAAAAAAAACGGCATTAGTACCTACCCATGCTGGCCTTAAATGAGACCAACCACCAACTTCAAATTAAAAATAAATATGGAATTACATATAGTATGTGAATTTTAAGAAACACACGGTAAAAGTGTAACCCACAAAAGCATTCTATCTCATTCTCACGCAGGCTAAATCCTATTACTGTATATTCGATTTTTTTTGTCTCGTTTTTCGAGTGCTATTATTGCCTTTAAAATCAATTTAAAATCATAATGTTGTTGAAGAATTTTTTTTAAATGAATTTAATCCAATTTTTTTTTTCTAAGTATTATTATTAGAAATTTTGTTTTTAATTCCATTGTTCCTTCTTAATTGACGTACTACGCATTTAATCTTTCAACTCCGGGTCGTATCTACTGAAGGAAAATATTTGATAAACGCCAATTTACGTGTACATTTATTTAAATACTAGCGACCCGCCCTCGCTTCGCTTCGGAAACATTAAAACACACATGAAACAAAAAAAATTTAATAAAAAAAAAAATTTAGAAAAAGTAGCCTATGTTCATCAGGGACAATGTCGGCTTCTAATGGAAAAAGAATTTTTCAAATCGGTCCAGTAGTTTCGGAGCCTATTCGAAACAAACAAACAAACAAATCTTTCCTCTTTATAATATTAGTATAGAAGTACATGCAATTGAATTATCCTACTTTGAGAATGATTAGTCTTGCATACCATGGTTCTTACTCAATTTTCCCGCTTTAGTTGTGAAATTCCCAAAAATACTACCTTTGTAGATGATAACATATAAGCATTATCATAGGCAGCGGCTTGGCTCTGTCCTTGGCATTGCTGAAGTCCATGGGCGACGGTAACCACTCACCATCAGGTGGGCCGTATGCTCGTCTGCCTACAAAGGCAATAAAAAAAAAAAAAAAAAAAAAAAAA